GGGGGGGGGGGCTGAAACTCGAACAAGAACGAATCACATGAATCTCCCGCCCCAGACAGACAAGCACGCGGTTTGATTGGCTAGAGCTTGTACTGGCATATGATTCGATTGGCTGACGCCTCCGTCGAGACGTCAAAAGTAGAACATTGCTCTACTTTTGCAGCGAGCACAACGAGAGAAGCTACGCTTTGCTCCCAGAATGCAGTTCGGCGAATCGTGACGTCACCCCATTCAAAGTGAATGGGCAGAAGCGTTGAAGCGGCAACGCACGCAGCCCTGTGTAGGGGCCGTAAAGGCTCAGACTAGCACTTGTCAAAACAAATGTATGGAGCTAATTTCCTGCCATAACTCCACAAACAAACTAAACAGGTTTTACAAATGCCTCATGATTCACTAACAAACACAATGTGGTTTGCAAATACAAAACACCATCTACAAACGAATGCATTTAGTTTTGCAAAGAAAAAACGTGTCTATCAAACAAACACATAACATTTTTCTAATAAATCATGTTTCACAGACAAATTCAGCATAGGTTTTACAAGTACAACACTTTTTTTTATAAGTACAAAATGTTTTCTTCTCACGGCGGAATATTACTGCCAAAAGTCACGTCACATGACTTTTGGAATTAATATTCCGCCTTGGTTGCATGGATGTATAATAAGAACACGGCCGCGGCCCACAGGTTGGGAACCACTGATCAAGAGAAAGGGAAAACCATAGCATATGATGCTATAAGGTTATGCATTCATGCTGTATATTTTATCTTTTTCAGATCGTGAAAGAGTGTAATGAAGGGGTGAGAAAAATGAGTCGCACTGAGGAGCTTATCAGCATTGAGAAAACACTGGAGTTCAAATCCAAGGTAATCCAAGTTTTAGTGAATGGGAAGTTCCAATAAAGGAAGTAGTTGAACCACAACACACAAAGATTGAGGGAATTTAACGTTCATCATTTAGGACATTTCTTGTTCAAAATAAATCGAAAAGCAAACCTGACTCTTTGCATATTAATAAGAAATATTGGCATTGGTCATAACTCAACGGTTCTTCCAATATGACAGGCTGGCAGGGATGGGCCTGGGGACCTCAGAGTAAAAAGCCAATAATTTATCAATACACCTGTTTAGTCTAGCTTGGCTATTCGTAGTATTCCACATTTCCTAAGACTTGGTGAATTATTAGAGAGAAACTAGAGATATCTGCAGTTAACCTTATTTCAACCCCCAATTGTTTTGTCCTTTGCAGTCTGTGCCCATCATTTCCCACTCACGCTGGTTGCTAAAGAAAGGTGAAGTGCAGCTCATGGCTGGACCTAAGAGCACTCGGACCATGCGGAGTCGTAAGCTCTATCAACCAGTATACTTGTTCCTTTTTAACAATCTGCTACTGGTCACCAAGCCAAGCTCCAGGTAAGCTTTGGTTATGAATTCTCACTGTGAAACACGAAGTTGCCAGTTCATTTGGAACCCTTAGCCAAAACTAATACAGTCAAACAAAGAGTCCTAAAAAGCCTCCTCCCTCCATGAAGTTTTCAACGTTTGGTTTCAATAGCAAGGACCACGCCTTAACAATGTAATTTAAAGATTGTTCTACCAGATGGTACACAGAATGAGACATGAGACAAGTTTGCACAATTTTAAATGGGAAGGGATGAGATAGAAAAAATAGGTTAAATTATGAGGAAATGGAGGGATGAAGGGTTGATGGGTAGAACGATGATGGGAGTTGAATAGGAAGGGATGAGATGTGATGGGTATAAAGGATGAAGGGATGAGGCGATAGCGGAGGGATGGATAAAAATAATTTCTAGATTGGAAAAATTGTGTAGAAAACGATTAGCTATGTTAAAAAGCTGACAAATTGTCCCGCGTATATTTTTTTCCCAAATTAGTGTTTATTTACCCTAAAAATCGAGTTTCACTCTTTTTACACCTTTCACTATATCTCAGCCATTATTACAGATAACTGAACAAATAAGGTATCCAGATCCATGTTATGAGGGTCAAGGAACAATAAAACTATTCTTAAAGTGATCACATGTGTCTGTGGCATGCTATTATGCTAATTAGTGCCGCCATTACAAGAAAATAGCATTTTAGTCTTGTACCAAGAAGGGTGTATTTTGCACTGACACAGAAATATTCTTATAATCAGTGGAAAAAGTATGTAGAAAATGATGAGCTATGTTGTCTGGATGTCCCACATGTATTTTGTATGCAAATTAGGGCCACCATTACCAAAAACGGAATTCTCACACTTTTTACTCTATCTCAGCCAATATTGCAGATACAATGAACAAATAATGTGTCTAGACCCATGTTTTGATGGTCAAAGATTACAATAATACTATTCCCAAAGTGATCACATGTATCTGTGGCATGCTAGTATACAGCGCTGGCACTAGTGAAAATTCCTTTTTTTTTTTACTATGTTTAATCTGAATTTACTCTGAAACAGCAATATCTATATTGATTCTGACACTT